GGGGGGGGGGATGATAGTATTATTACAATGTAGAGCAGAAGCAGATGGATGAAAAGTTGGGAGGACAACATCAAGGAATGGACAGGCCTGGAACTCTAAGACACGCTCAGGAAAGCTGAAGACCGGAAAGAGTGGAGGAAGTTGATGGCCAAATCTTCAAAAGCGCCCCGACGGACATCCAGTCTACGGGATAGGTGAGGTGAGGAGGACTTAACAAGGCGTCAGTTTATGAACTAAATAAGACATGTGTGTTACAATATAATATGGTCGCTTTTAAGCACAAGGGGCCTATCCCGAAAAATTCTGTTTTGAGAAAATCGAAGGAAACGTTTTTGGACCCTTGTTCAGTTTCTTTAAAAGGGAAGGGTTTTTTTTATTTTTATAACTGAACAAATAGACACACCAATGAAACAAAACTTCTCCTAGAGGTAAGGTAATACCCAATTTTGGTGTAGGTCAAGATTTCTGGAAACCTCCAAAATCTGGGTTAGCCCGCTTGTGCTTAAAAGCGACCAATTAAAATGTTCGTTTCGCCCCCAACATGTATTTCCAAACGCAGCCTTGAATTATAATGCCTAGTTGGCACTACCCGGGCGATCCCTGTGCACTTGATAATAATAAATTATAGCATTTGTATAGCGCAAATCCCCGCTCATCAGTAAGCTCTATGCGCTTCACAATCTATACTATTACCCCAGCAGACCTGAGAGCATTCTGAAACAACCTCAACTTCCTAGAAAGATACAGCGCAAGCAGCCATTTATAGGCGCTAAAACACTAACATACTGACAAAATTTTTCGCTGTTTATGGCCGGGTACCCATTCCCACCTGGTCCTGGGTGAAGTGAGGAAAAGTCGTATAAAGTGCCTTTCCCATGGACACAAGGTCGGACCTGCGGTTCGAACTAGAGGTGGGAAAAAGCCTGATAACCTATCCAGATAACTGGATAGTTCTCAATGAAACGTCATCCGAATTCAGACTCTTTGCTCTCTTTCCTGACCCATTTGCCGAAGTGAGTGCACCCAGTTGTTGAAGTGGTTCTAACCCCATCTACTGAAGTGGTTCATAACACACTTGCCGAAGAGATGAACTAACATTATTATCATCCAGATTTTGCAACAGCGACTCATTGCCCAGTCCTAGCTCGAACCCCCGAACCCGCAACCTCACGATTACGAGTCCGCTCACACGGTGGACGATGTGGACCAGCAGGTTGGCAATCAGAGATCTAACCGAGTTATAGGCTGCCTAGCCCTGAGCTGGAGACCCTTTTTAGAGAGGGTACAATAGAAAGTCGAACCTGTTCTGTAGGTCACCAGTGTTAGACAATCACATGTACAAATGCGAGAGAGAGAGACAGAGAGAGAGAGAGAGAGAGAGAGAGAGAGAGAGAGAGAGAGAGAGAGAGAGGGGGGGGGAGGGAGGGAGGAACAGACAGACAGACGGATTTTGTTATAGATTCAACGTCCAGAGGAACCAATTCAACAGACACATTATCATTCCTACCGTAACCGTTGCCAATCCAGAAGTGCGACTGTCCTGTGAAGTTGGACATGGCCAGGCGACCGATCTCCATGGCCTCCACCTCATCTCGCACCATCAGCAACTTTGAGCCAAAGCTGGGGGAGGGGGGGGGGGAGAGAGGGAGAGAGAGTGAGGGGGGGGGGGGGGGGAGAAAAACAGACAAGTATAACAGACCGAACCTGTTTTGTAACGGTTACCTGTCCGAAAACAATTACCTTTATGGTACTGTCAGACCTTTTCTAACCGCTACCTGTCCGAAAGAGTCACCTTGACGGTTCTGTCAGACCTTTTCTAAAGGTCACCTGTCCAAAACAGTCACCTTTATGGTACTGTCATACCTTCTGTAACAGTCAGCTCACCATTACAATCACCTTCATGGTACTGTCAGACTTTTTGTAATGGTCACCTATCCAAAACAATTAATCAACTTTACGGTACTGTCAGACTTTTTGTAACGGTCACCTGTCCAAAACAATTACATTTATTGTACAGTCAAAGCTTTTTTAATAACGGTCACCTGTCCAAAACAATCACCTTTACGGTATAGTCTAGGCTTACAGAGCAGGTATCTTGACACTTCTATTCTAGATAGATTATTCATCAAAAGCTAAGCAAATATAGCAGACTTTACGATAATATCAATAACCCCATATTATGTAAGCCCCAAAACTGACGAGCTCCTGATTCCACTGTGCCATGACACAAATTTGACTGTGCTGCCTCATACAAAGTCCGGAGTCACGGGAATATCATTATTCCAGTTAGTACTTTTTTCTTGAGATATACACGAATACACAAGTGATTTGCTGACTATAATATTATTGAAGGGGTTTTCGTCTACCCTGGACACCGTTAGACAAAACGCTACCTTATAATTTACAAAGTTTTATCTGACATTTTTTGGCCGTTTTGAGTTACTAAGACCATGAAGCCAGAAACCAAATAGACACGACGCAGTGGAATCAGGCGGTCGTCCTTTTTAGGGCATATGGAGTTATTGGTATCATCTTAACGGTTTTTCATTTGCCTTGCTTTTGATGAAAATAATATCCATTTGTCTTAAATAGAAGTCGAGATATTTGCAATTGAAAGAGGTGGGGTCGCCTGGTTTCAGACGTAAAATTAGTGAGAAAATGCCCGCCAAAGTTTGGTGACTTCCATAGTTTAAAAATCCTTGGAAACTACAAATTTACAATTTTGTTGTTGCTTTATTCTATGTTTTTCCATAAAAATCAACACATAAAACTGTTTTTGAATGGACATACGAGGTGTTGAGCCAAAAAACGAAAATTCGAAGAAAATGTCCAAAGTGGCCCAACAAAAGCAGATTTCTCGGATTTCATTATTTTGACCAGCGCCTGATTTCACCATGATGCCTCACAAATGTTCTGTCTCTGCTCTGGCAAAATGGTAAGTTTATTCGGAGTCGTTATCAAGATATTCTTAGAATAGAGACAGGAGAAAATTACCTGGAGCAAACAACACAAAAGTCACACTTTATGCTTTACCCCTTACCCTAAATCTATTCCAAACTCTACCCCTAACCCATGACCCCTATCTCCTAGCTAACAACCTAAACCAACCTCTAACCCAAAAAGCTTGACGTGTTGTGAAACTGTTTTCCGTCAAATTTCTCAAAACTAGGAAGGCGCACTGAGCAGACAGAACTTTGTCATTCTGGTTCTGGGGTAGTGATTTTTTTTTAAAAGGCCAGGAAAAAAGGTACAGTAACTAGACGTGTGTATACTCACTCCTTGCACGTTTCGCGAGCTCCCTGTAGGCCAAGCTCAGAGCTCACAAACCAGTAGCAGTGTGTTCCTTCCAGGGTCCAACCTGAAAATTTGATTTTAAACAAATATTTAAAAAACATAGATTTAGATTTAGATATTATTTTAACGGCACTTGCAACACAAATAGGTCATGTGAGTGCCAAACATTAGAGGAGTTACCACAGAGCAATTATAAATATTTTTAAAAGAAGAGAGATAAGGACGATAGACGTTGAAAAAAGAGAAGGAGCAAACAACACCAAAGCACCCCTCAACAACCCACTCGTAATGACTATAAGTACAATGTATAAGATATTGTTTTGTAAAACGCTTATATTGTTATTATTTTACTATTCGTATAACTATTATTACGTGTTAATTTTTAAAAAGAGATTCGAGAAGACCATAAAACATGTACCGAAATCCTTACCCCTAACCTCTAAGCTTTAACCCATTTACCTTATCCACTAAACACTATACCTTAAACCCCAAATCCCTAACCCTACACCCTAAAATTTAGATTCTAAAACACTAAACCCTGAACCCTAAACGTCCACCTCTTAACCCTAACAGCTAACCCCAACCTCGAACTAAACTTACACACCTTACCCCTATCCCTTAACCGTTACACCTATGTTGGTATCCCTTACAGTTACTCCTTACGCTTTACCCCTTACCCTAACTCTATTCCAAACTCTACCCCTAACCCATGACCCCTATCTCCTAGCCAACACCTAAACCAACCTCTAACCTCTATGCCATAACCCCTGACCCCTAACCCATAACCCATAACCCATAACCCCTAACCACTAACCCCTAACCCAACTCCAGTTACCTCTAACCCCTAACCCCTAAACCTTAAACCGTAACCCCAACCTTTAACTCCTAACTCGTAACCTATTTCCCTTAACACCTAACCCTAACCCCTAAGCCCTTACCCAAATCCCCAGTATGTCTATATATTGAGATTTATAACTACGGGAATACGCTTTCCCTGCTACTACTCCAAGACATGCTCCGTGACTCGGGCCTGCTAGTGACAGGGTTAACCTTTGAGCTATGCTTGTTTCAATCATGTGACTACTAGAGAGGGTAAAGGGTGGGGTGGGGGGGGAGGGTGAGATGGAAATGGGGATATGGTGGGGTGG